TTGGTTGTTGTTTGTTTTCATTTTCTATATATAGGAGTTAATCATGTAATACAAAATTTGAGCTAGTTAATACAATGTGATCCTTTCATTTCCAACAGAATTTGATGTATAGCTATCACTTTTTTACATCAGTTTTGAGTGTCATATTATGACTTTAACTCCCACAAACCCCCAGCCCAATTCGATACAATGCCTCTAGGTGTTTGTGAGGGAGTAATACCCATTTCAGGGACCGACAGAGCACAGTACAGCTTTTCAAATGGCCGGTGTGATAATATGACACAAACCTAGTCCTTGCTAAATGTATTCATGCTTTCATCCATTTTGGTTTTTAACGGTGACAAGTGACTTTTTGTAGTTATTGTTGATCAAGAAAGGAGGACAGATGATCTATGGAGGGCCACTTGGTTTTAACTCTCAGAAAATGATAGATTATTTTGAGGTGAATTTTCTCTCCCTCACACTGTGTTTAATTCATTTTATCTTCGTTTTAGCTATACATTGAGAGTGATCTTTACTGTGCAGGCTATATCAGGTGTTCCTAAAATCAAAGATGGATCTAATCCAGCTACATGGATGTTGGAGATCAGCACTGCAGCTGTTGAGTCACAACTTGGAGTTGATTTTGCAGATATCTATGCCAACTCTTCACTTTATCAGTAAGTACAACTCTTACCACGAGTTTGTAAGGTTTTGGATTTAGATTAACTAAGTGATCATATTTAATCTTTTAGTAAGATTTGATCGATGCGTACTATGAATTCGAACTTTCTTCCTTCTTTTTTTTCAGGAGGAATCAAGAACTGGTAAAAGAGCTCAGCACCCCGCCTCCGGGTTCAAAAGACCTTCAATTCCCGACCAAATACTCGCAATCATTTGTTGAGCAATGCAAAGCTTGTTTTTGGAAACAACACTGGTCTTATTGGAGGAACCCACAGTACAATACTATCCGGTTGTTCATAACAATATTTACGGGCGTTTTCCTTGGACTTACCTTTTGGGACAAAGGGAACAAATTGTAAGCTTCTCTCTTCAGTTTCCTTTGACACAACTTCTCTTGGCTTCACTAACAAAGATTCTTCTTGTTTACAGCAAAAAACAGCAGGATTTGCAGAACATTATGGGAGCCATCTTTTCTGCCATAATCTTCATTGGAGCTACAAACACGACGACTGTGTTGCCTATTGTTGGTGTGGAGAGAACAGTTTACTATCGGGAACGTGCAGCTGGGATGTACTCAGCTTTGCCCTATGCATTTGCTCAGGTAATCATTTCACACGAATGGTTTTATTTTTTGGCCTCATTGGTAAATAAAAATTGTTTTTTTGGTCTGAGACAAGGTTTTAAAATTTTACAGGGAGGTATAGAAGCAATATATGTGGCTGTGCAGACCATTTTCTACTGTCTTTTGATATACCCAATGATTGGATTTGAGTGGAAAATTGGAAAGTTTCTATGGTTCTACTATTTCTTGTATATGTGCTTCCTATACTTCACAGTGTTTGGAATGATGCTTGTAGCATTGACACCTGGCATCCAGTTTGCTGCCATTCTCATGGCTTTCTTCCTCACCTTTTGGAACCTCTTCTCTGGCTTCCTCATCCCCAGAACTGTTAGCTACTTTCCATTATTATACATCTACTAAAAATTTTATTTTTTTTATTATCTTTTTCTTGATTGCTGTTATATATTGCAGCAAATCCCAATATGGTGGAGATGGTACTACTGGGCATCACCAACGTCATGGACACTTTACGGGCTCGCGACATCACAGTTAGGGGATGAAGATTGTCTGATTGAGGTTCCTGGAGCAGCTACCATGTCAGTAAGACAGATACTTGAGTTTTACTTAGGTTTTGATTATGATTTTCTTCCCATTGTCGGTGTAGGCCATGTTGGCTGGGTTTTCCTCTTTTTCTTTGTATTTGCATTAGGCATCAAGTTCTTGAATTTCCAAAGAAGATAATAATAATAATAATAATAAGGTTGTTGTGTTGGGGCTCATGGAATGCTAATTAAACACTAGTACTATACTCTACCCCATTCGTGTATGAAACTAGAGTATATGAATCAAATTTCTTGTAAAATCATTGCTTTGAATGGAGTTATATATATATATATATATATATATATATATATATATATATATATATATATATATATATATATACCATTGTTGTTTGGAATGTTATTAAGGGTGCCCCATTTTCACTAGTTAACATATTTCTTTTGCCCCAAAATAAATTTTCACAAATGACCTGCCAATGTTAATCTATATTAATAAAAGTTAAAAGGAAAGAGGGTTGTTTTTTTAAAAACAAACCAAACTAGAATGTTGAACTTTTTGCATTAAAGTAAATAGGGGACACTTGATTTACGTGAAAATTCGCATTAAAAGATGCAATTACGAGACCCTTCGATCATCAAGTTCTCTTTTCTAGTACTCACTATACAATAATCACTAGACACAAATACAATTATAAAGGAGCAATGTTGGCTCAACCACAACTAACAAACTATTTTTGTTCGGTTATCGAAGTTTTTTTAAGTTGATTATTTGGAAAAAAAGAAGATGACTAAAATACTTATTTAAATGTAATTTTTAATTGTAAATTAGTGAGAATTTGATAGTTTAAAAAATTAAAAAATTAAAAAAATTAAAAATAAAAAAATTAAAAAAATTAAAAACCAAATTTGGAACCAAACTGGTCCAGAATCTTGATACCGGTCAAGTTTGGTACCCCACCCCTGACCTGGCACCCTTGGACACACCACCAGCTCTGGTCACAATTCTTGTTCCGAAACTGTCTGTTCCAATTCTAATTCCAATTCGAAATCAGAATCATATCCGCATGACATATCTATGTTCAAGCTAGTGGTTCAACTAATGAACCAGTGCCTTGATTGGTTTGGTTATAAAATTAAGATCCCGCCAAAATGATTTTCTTTTTTCATCTATTCTCTCCGTCCAAAATGATTTAGTTTTATACTATTATGGTTTCTCGATAATTTTTTTTTGTTTGCATGTTTCATTGATCATTTTATAAAATAAAATAATCATGTTAACTTTTGTTTGTTGAACTTTTTGATGTAAATTTTGAATATATAATTTTTATTCTTTATTTCGAATACAAATTTATAAATAAAATTATTTTAAAGTTACAAATTTTGCATATTGATTGAAAAAGATAATTCGTTTTGGAACAAAGATAATATTTAAGGGCATTTACAATGTGTGTGTGTGGGGGGGGGGAAGCTTCCGTCGCGCCGCACACCCCCCACAACCCACCGCAGCGCACGTCCATTGCAGGAGTTTTGTCGTGTTTTCTGCCTTGGCGCACGCCCCAAGCGCGATGCTTAGTCAGGCCGAAATCCCGGCCAAAAATCGTGGCTACCGCCCACTGCAGCACCGCGTCTGAATTCTTTTTTTGGTTGATCTAATTATTTATATTAAATGTATATAAATTTTGAATTAATAAAAATGATGAATATTAAAGAAGAAACGGAGCGGCGAGTTTTCAGGGCAACAATATTGCAAAATGTTGTGGCGGAACCAAAAGTTAATACAATGTTAATGTGACAGGAGTTCCGACAAAGTAAAAATGCTCCTAGTGTAATTGTGTAAATGCTCTAAATGACACTCTTTTTTTAAAAATGGAAGAAAATTTCTCCAAAAAAAAGAAAAAATACACCGAGGTCCGAGTATAATTATGAGAGGGACATTATTGTTGCGCAAAAAATAATTGAAGAAAAATCATGAGGAGCAGTTTTATCTTTTCGGAAACAATTCCAAACATGTCAAACTTTGGAGTTTGGAAAGCTGTCGTCCCGTTGGGACCCGCCGCCCCCCCTCTCTCTCTCTTCACGAGATTCTAGGCGCCTTGAACTGAGGGCTCACTACTACTGGTACACTGTAGTAGCAGCGCTGTAGTGTAAGCATCCATCAGATCTTTCTTTCTCTCCTTCCCCAGGCCCAAATTTCTGCTCTGCAAATTTCTGCTACTCGATCGATCCCCTTATGAACAGGAAGAAGCTGAAGAAGAACCCCTAAAAAGATATGGTTTACTCCCTCTCCGGCCTCCGGTTGCCCGCCGCTCCGTCGGTGTTGAAGCATCATCATCATCACTCGTCCAGCTCCCCCGCTGATCCGAGGAATGCCAATCCTAGTATCTTCCTTAATAAAAAGATGTCTTTTTCCCGTAATGATCGTCTTTCTGTCTCTGATTTGTGTCTTGTTTATTGTTTGGGGTACTTGATTTTCTGCTCGATTGGAATTTGGAATCCATATCCGGAATAGATCAGTGTATATGAATGATTGGTCGAGTTAGGTTTTGCCCTTCTTTTTTTTTCATTCGTCCAAAATGGAATGAATTGCTTTTTAAGGCCTTTTTTTTCTTGCTTGTAGGGGTAAAAGTCGTACCTTTAACCCCTTTTGTTCTCTTTTTTTCCTTTTTTCTGTAATCAAAAGAATGATTGACGGCAGAGAGTTTAAAGATACTGTTGAGACTGGAGAGCTACTCTCAAGAGTGAAAGTCTTTCTAAGTTCTAACCAATCATAGATTCTCTCTGGATTAGAGGTTTTTGTAGGACGATGAGCTATTTTCAAAAGTAAAGTCAGTATATATTTGAGATTTCTTGAATTTCTTTGAATCATTCATGTTAATTACACCAATTTGTAGGAACCAATTTTCTTATGAAGCAATCTGTTAATTACTCCCATATCTTTTAATACTTCTTTCTGGTGGAAACATAACCAGTTTGGTGCATGTCTATAGGGAAGATCTTTGCTGGAAAATCTTCGTACAATCCCGAATCGTCTTTCTCTACAGTTGCAGCATCAGAGAAGGTCCTTGTTCCTGGTGACCCGAGCGAGGGATCATCATTTTCAGAAGATACCCAAGTATGTGTACATAGAACTTTAAAAGTTACTACTGCTTTAACGCAGCATGAGAATAAGGCGGTTTATCTCAAGTAAAACTTAAAAGTGAAAATTAATATTTAACTCAATCAACTCTTGTTGAGTGTCAATGAATTTTTTTGGCATTTTGGTGTCTTCCATTAATCAGCATTTTAGTCTGAGATATGCATAAATTGCTGTAAGAAGAATTACCCCCAAATTGTAGTATAAGAATTTCAGTATAAGTGAAAAATGTTCATGTAATCATTTCTTGATGAATGATATCTTGAATAACTTTCCAACCCTCATGACTGAGTCTGCAACATATAAATGTGTGCGGGTCCTTTCATAGGACGACATCCATTGACATCTTATTGATATACAGAGTAGAATGTTTGGAAGCGAAAAATGATTTTTTGGTTTCTAGCATGAATTCTCTTATATTTTTTTTATCTTGGAGTGCTGGGCTTGTTTTCTTCACATCTTCCTCCAATGTCGCAATATTTTATACCCATTTCCATTCAAGGTATCGGCTGATGTGAGTAGCGTGGAGACTGAAGGGGGCAGAAACAGTGAAAGCAATATGAATTATGCCGAAGCAACAAGTGACTCTAAAGAAAGTGTTCAAGAGCAGGGCTTTGCTTCTACACTCCAATCTGAAGAACATGATGAGGTGAAGGCTTCCCAAACAGAAAATACTTCAGATGACATCTCTATTGAGTCTGAAATGACAAAAAAGATGGTCATTCCCCCTCCTGGAATCGGCCAGAGGATTTATGAGATAGACCCTCTCTTGAGAAATTACCGCAACCATCTTGATTATAGGTAACATGTTTTTTCAAGTGTAAATTATGTCAGAAAAATTCAACAAGCTTCAAATAAGTGTAAATGATGTGAAGTTGTCGTGTGATACGGCCTCTGCAATTTGGCCCTTTTTTCAAGGCTCCATTCGAATGCACTTTTAAAAGAAACGTGCTGACTTGTTAGCAAGTCAACTCTTTACATCCGTGGGTCGAATCATTTCCATGAATCTAATGCTCCATTACCTTTACATAGCTGCATATTAACTCTATCTTTTTGCTTCCAAACTTTATAGGTTTTCACTCTATAGGAAATTGCGGGAAACAATTGACCAGCATGAGGGTGGATTGGAAGCATTCTCTCGTGGCTATGAGAAATTAGGTTTCACTAGGAGGTAAACGCCACTTGATGTGATTTTTCTGTCTTATTTTATGCACCAGTACAAGTCTTCTTGTACTGGCAATGAATTTTTTATTGCCAGTACTATGAGTTAGTTGCACTCCTGATTGCTTGTATATCGTTCATTGCCAGTCCTACAGGTATCACCTATCGGGAGTGGGCTCCGGGAGCCACGGTTAGTATTGCCCATTTAGTGCTGCTGTGGAAATAAGTATTCAGTTTTTATCATGTCTTCTTCTCCTTGCTTTTGTAGTGGGCAGCACTCATTGGAGATTTCAACAACTGGAATCCAAATGCTGATGTCATGACTAGGGTATGGATTTATTGGGTCAATTCTGATTCATAATCATTTTGTTCGATTGGCATCCGTCGTGTGGGTTGCTATGATTTGCTGCTCTTTGTCTTGATTCATGATGCTGGTTGATATTTTAGTAACTTCATCTGCATTTTATTAGCACATTGCTTGTTAATGACTTGTTCAGTGATAAAAGCCATTGCTTTATTTCAATGCTCCCAATTCTTGATTGCTTTTAGTGCATAAGTATCCACATCTGACGCTTTAGTTTGTTTTATTTTTGCATTTTTATTTGATTATGCACTTTTAGCCGACCCCACCTAGTGGGATAAGGCTTTTCTGTTGTTTGCTATTTGATTAAGCACTTTGGGAAGCTAAAATGGTGGAATAAAAATCTTATAGTCTTTTAATTGTTCAGTGAAAGGTTCAATCTAAGGGGATTAAAAAACTTGATTGATTTGAGACTTATGTGTTCTATCTATATGTGTTTTGAGCTAGGAGTCTCATGGGGTTAACCCTATGTTACAATTTCTGCAGTTGTGTGAGTTACTAAATGATTACATTGACCCCATGCAACATTAAAATCATTTATAATTATGTTTCAACAGAATGAGTTTGGTGTTTGGGAGATCTTTTTGCCAAACAATGCAGACGGATCGCCGGCAATTCCACATGGATCCAGAGTGAAGGTATATCTCTGTTTGGTAGCTGTGCAATTGCAGTAGCTCTGAAAGAAAATGTTAATGTGAACAAACAAGTCAAATGTTTGGTGCTCAAATGCTTTCTATCTATCGAATTCATATTGATATAATGAACACTGCAAATTACAGTTTGACCTTTTTGGGTACTTAGAGCTAATTCTGCTGGGTCCACAATTCTTATGATTATACTGTTTGGGAGTTCAGATACGCATGGACACTCCGTCAGGCATTAAAGACTCCATCCCTGCTTGGATCAAATTCTCTGTACAAGCTCCTGGTACAATTCCATATGATGGAATATACTATGATCCTCCTGAAGAGGTCGTCATTTACTCCTTTTCTCAATTAATGCTGCAACAAAGTCAAAATGGTTTCCGGCTTTTTTTTTCAAAAAAAAAAATAAATGGTTTCCTTTGCGTTTCTACTTCCAAACTCTTCCTTATGCAGTTATGCTGAGTGTTCTTAAATGCACTGCAGGTGAAGTATGAATTTCAACATCCACGACCAAAGAGACCAAAGTCACTGAGAATATATGAATGCCATGTTGGAATGAGTAGTCCAGTGGGCACCTCTCCTTGCTTTCTTATATGTCTTTCCTATTTCATGTGATGGGTGTATTAAAAACAAGTGAAATGACCATTAACTTCTGATTAAATTTCAGGAGCCTAAAATAAACACATATGCAGAGTTTAGAGACGACGTGCTTCCTCGGATAAAGAAACTTGGCTACAATGCTGTCCAGATAATGGCCATTCAAGAGCATTCTTATTATGCTAGCTTTGGGTACTTTTTAAATTTAATTCTTTAACACTATGTTTGGTTTAAGGAATTTGGAAGGAAAAGAAAAGAAAATGATTTTCCCTCATTTTCCTCACTAAAATGGAAGGAATTTGATTTTCTCTCCTCTTTGTACATTTTGCCTTCTTATTTTCATTTCCTTCCACTTTTCTTTTCTTTTCCTCTCTAACCAAACAAGAAAAATGTTTTCTTTCTCATTTTCTTTTTCTTTCCTTCTCAAATTCCTTGAACCAAACATAGTGTAAGTGTACTTTTTTTTATATTTCGCTATTTTGTTCATTAGCACTTGATGCTCCAAACTGCATCTTATTATTATGTGTTTCTAATGCAATATCTCGCCCTTTTGCATGAGTCAGCTATCATGTTACAAATTTCTTTGCACCAAGCAGTCGTTGTGGGACTCCTGAAGATCTTAAATCTCTGATTGATAGAGCTCATGAACTTGGCTTGGTTGTTCTAATGGATATTGTGCACAGGTAAGTAATGGCTCTTCTCTTCATGATTTGGCAACTTTAGTTGTTTGGAAAATAATCAGTTTGCTCCATACTTAATACAACAACAACAACAGTATATAGGAGTAGATGTCTAACATTCTGTTTTGCAGCCATGCATCAAACAATACTTTGGATGGACTGAACATGTTTGACGGTACTGATAGCTGCTACTTCCACTCCGGGTCCCGGGGTTATCATTGGATGTGGGATTCCCGTCTCTTCAACTATGGAAATTGGGAGGTTTGTTTCTTCTTTCTATATGTAAAACAGTTCTGATAATCCCTCCAATGTCATTGTATTTTTCCATTTAGAACAAGTTTTTTTTGCTTGTGATAGGTTCTTAGGTATCTTCTCTCAAATGCAAGATGGTGGCTGGATGAGTACAAGTTTGATGGATTCAGATTTGATGGTGTGACTTCTATGATGTATACTCACCATGGATTGCAGGTTTGATCTGATTCGTTATATGACTGTTATTCTCTTTGGTTCTTTACACTATGTTTGGTTCGGAGAATTTGGAAGGACAGGAAAGTGCAAAGGAAAAGAAATATATAACAAACTTTTAGTCATAACTACCTCGGGTACCCTGTTTGGTTCACCATTTGTTTTCCTTCTTCTTAGTCTATTTTCTGTTCTCGTTTTGTTTTTCTTCCACTTTCTTTATTTTTCCTCTCTAACCAAACAAGAAATATTATTTTCTTTTCTTTTCCTTTTCGAACCAAACACCGAAGTTGTTTTACCTTGCCTTTTTTATTTATTTATTTTCCCTTTCGAATTCCTTGAACCAAACACAGTGTTAATCGCATTACACTATCGACTTGACTGAGTGATTCTTTTTACTTTTTTAGGTAGCATTCACTGGGAATTACAGTGAATATTTCGGATATGCAACTGATGTTGATGCTGTGGTGTATTTGATGCTCGTCAATGATCTCATTCATGGCCTCTTCCCAGATGCAATAACCATTGGTGAAGACGTGGGTTTCTTTTTTTTTTATTATTTATTTCAGTGTCACTATTAATTGAACTAAATGTTTCTAGATTTTGTTTTCTTTTTGGCATGTAATTTCGACTTATCTAGTAAACCATTTGGATACCAAGATTGAAAATTCTTCAAAACTTTTTTTTATATTTCAGGTTAGTGGCATGCCTGCGTTTTGCATTCCTGTTCGAGATGGAGGTGTAGGTTTTGACTATCGGCTTCATATGGCAATTGCTGATAAATGGATTGAGATTCTCCAGTAAGTTTCATCTGATTATGCAACGTTTGCTTAATCTAACAAGACACGTCTAACCCTAGTTTAAATCCAAATCACTGTTTGAAATGTGTCGTGTAGGAAAAGAGACGAGGATTGGAAAATGGGCGATATAGTTCACACACTAACAAATAGAAGATGGATGGAAAAATGTGTTTCTTATGCTGAAAGTCACGACCAAGCTCTTGTTGGCGACAAAACTATAGCTTTCTGGTTGATGGACAAGGTAATCTAATCTAGGCTTTCATTTAACATTTGAGTTGTTTTTGTATGTTTTTCACTTCATGTAACATGTTTTTTTTGCTAGGACATGTATGACTTCATGTCTTTGGATAGACCGTCAACACCAGCAATAGATCGTGGAATAGCATTGCACAAAATGATCCGTCTTATAACTATGGGATTAGGAGGAGAAGGATATCTAAACTTCATGGGAAACGAATTCGGTCACCCTGGTACGGATTTGGATGCCTTTTTTTTCTACCCGTATTTTATTTTTTCACGAATATTTCACCTAAATTTTGTTTTTTTTTCCAGAGTGGATTGATTTCCCTAGAGATGACCAACACCTCCCGGATGGTAAATTTGTGCCTGGAAATGGGAGCAGTTACGATAAGTGCCGGCGCAGATTTGATCTGGTAATAAGCAATCAAATCACCCTTACTTTAATGAGAAATTCAAGCAAGTGTTTCTTCTGATAATATAACATATGACTTTACTGGAGATATATGTAGGGTGATGCAAACTATCTAAGGTATCGGGGCATGCAAGAATTCGACCAAGCTATGCAACACCTTGAAGAAAAATATGGCGTATGTACATATTCTTGTGCAGTACTATAACAATACCCAATTTCAAATTTTTTGATCTGAACTCTTTTCTGAACATGTAACCAATTATGTTTCTTCGAGGAATGAATTTGTTGCAGTTCATGACGTCGGAGCACCAATACATATCGCGCAAGGACGAAGGAGACCGGGTGATTGTCTTTGAAAGGGGCGAACTCGTCTTTGTCTTCAACTTTCACTGGACAAATAGTTATTCAGATTACCGTATAGGCTGCTCCAAGCCCGGAAAGTATAAGGTATGTCATATGAGCTGCTTCCCTTTAACATATCTGTCGGACAACAAAGATTATAACTCAATTTTGGTGATGGATATTAATGCCATTTTGATTGTGTACACTATAATATGACTCATCATCTTGTAGGTAGTGTTGGACTCAGACAGTGAGTTGTTTGGAGGCTTTGGCAGAATTCATCACGCCGCAGAGTTCTTCACACACGTAAGAGAATCCCCCCCGGCTGTGTCATATTACTCCCTTTGTCCCACCATGGATGCCACTGTCAAACTTACATATATATATGTGTGTGTGTGTAAAAACTACGCCAAAAGCTCTATAAAACAAGATGTGACAATAATATTTTATTTTATCAAATAAGCAATGAAAAAACACAAATGTACAAAAGTTGTCGTGAATTTTGAATAGTGCAGAGTGAATTTTATTATTCTCACTTGATTATATTTAGCTCTTTATTTAAGGCTTGGAGAAAAGAGAAATGATAATGTGGTCATATATGTGCAGGAAGGGTATTACGATGATCGTCCCCGGTCCTTTATGGTGTATGCGCCGAGTAGAACCGCAGTGGTGTATGGTCCAGCCGAGGACGATGTATCAAGACCGGTTGCCGAATAGGCACATCAGATAGGTAGGGGCCAGCCATTATATGTTCATGACAGAGCAGTCATCTAAGCAGCATTCTGTAATATATTTGTGTTTTTTGACAGAGCTAAACAAGAAGTGTTGTTTCTCACAGAGACACCTTTACATATACACATATATATGAATATATATATATTAAATAATTTTGGCGATTTCACCCAACCTAAGAGGCTCCAAGATTGCATGCCCCTGCCATCTTTCAAATTAGACTCTTTTCGTGTGGCGTTAGGGTGGCGACCGTTGCCGATATGGGCATTACTTTGTGTCTGCACCATCTTTTCTGTCCGCCGAAGTTAACATCGAGCTTTTTCCTTCAAACTCTCAATGAAAGAATCAATTTGATGGAATATAATCCCACCAAATAGCCCGACTCGATTGATCAAAGATATCAATTAATAGATCAATAATAAAAATTAAGGACCGGAATACCGATCAAATACAAGATAATTTCTAGCCAGACCGGATTAAAATTACAATATTTTTTTTTCATTTTAATACAGTACTTATAATATGTGATTATAATACAACTATGTGTTTTCATTTTTTGTTCTTACTTTAATATAATCTTTTAGATGTACTCGGTAGTATGTACTTCTTCTGTTCCAAAAAGATACATTCTTACTATTCAAAAGTCACGAAAATTTTTATTTATTTGTGCATTTTATTTGATTATTTGATAAAATAAAATATTCTTGTCACCTCTTTGCTTGTTTTGTAGAAGTTTTGATGTAGTTTTAGATATGTTAGTTTATTTTAAATTTATATACCAATCTTTAAATAAGATGGATTAGAAAACATAAAAATTTGCTTCATTTTGCGTAACATGTAAAAACATTTTGGGACGGAGGGAGTACTATTTTATTCATTTACATTTATGCAAAAATCTCCAAAAGAACTTAAATTATTTAAAAAAATTGAAGCATAACGTCTCGATTTAGAGTTTTGGATGCTTTCGCATGCAACTTATTTTTAGTAAAAATGAAATACTATGAAGTGCAAGTTTATACTCCTTCCGTCCCTGGGTATTTTTCCATTTTTGATTTTTTAATCAAAATTGGTAAACTTGACCTCAAATTAAATAAATGATATTATATATTGATACAGAAAATCTTTTTATTAAATTTATTATATCAAATAATTTCAAATTAATATTTTATCTAACTACGGAGTAATATATAATATATATTTTATTTAGTTATAGGTTAAAAGTTGAAAACAAAAATACTTAGGGACGGAGGTAGTATTATTTTTGAAATCATACAAACAAACAAAACTTTAAAATTCATTTTAAACATATCATATTGTTGATGTTTTAATGTAAGTGTATTAAAGAACTTTGTGCGGGTTATCTATCTTTTTTATTTTCATCCCAACTTTATTTGAGTTTAGTCCGACGAAATAGTTTTTTATTCAGTTTTGTTAAACTCTTTTTTTATTTTTTTTTTCGAAGTCCGAAAAGAGTAGATTTTGACTGAGTTTGGTCTTTTTTTTGAACAGACTTGCCCAAACTCCCGTAGAAGAAGAAGATAAACAGTTTGGGGCGGTGATGGAAGGAGATGGAGAAGCAGCAGGGAAACACAAAAAAGTAAAATAAAATAAAAAGTCTATAGTGACCTTTTCAAATATAAATGGTGGAGAAGCAAAAAAAAAAAAAGAAGAAGAAGACTTTGTGTTTTTTTTAAAGGAAACTTCCCCCATTGGAGCGTATCTTTTGGCCTCTCATTTTTCAAAAATCATAAAAAATGGCATTTAGTCGCCAGCAAAGGGTTCCCTCCGAACAACGTAGGAGGAAACCTTTCGAGCAAGACGGACCCACTAAAATCGCTATTGCTTAGGATGAGGCCGAGACCGGATGGTATGGGCCCGGCCAAGAAGTTATATATTCTCGACGTGTAGCGTCTCGAAAGCATCCAATCCTCCGATTGTAGTATATATTCAAACTCGGTCAACAAAATCTTTGTTCAGAACTCAGTATTTTTTAGATCGGGTTTAAAGTAAAAAAGAAGTCGGACCAGTTTTTGTCAGGTCTAGTTATAGATAAAATAGTACTTCCTGTGTCAAAACTATATTTCAAAATGAAACTATTTATATTATATTTATATCGAAACAGAATATTTTTTTCGTATGCCAACCTGAAAGTTACGGGCTTTGACCATGAAGAGTGGACAAGATTAAATTCAAACATAAGAAGTAACATTATTTTCAATATATTTCTATATTGGTGTGATCTGATCATATCTCAATAGATGTGGTCAATAGATTTGACCTAAATGGATATGATCTAATCTATTTTTAGTAATGAATAAGTAATACTGTAAACAGTTTAATAAGGGGCCCGCCTATCTTGATTTATCAAGCTTTTTAAAAACACCGATATCCCAAAAATTACAACAAAAAAATAGATATAATATAAAAACGGGATGCTATAACCATTTGATCCTTTCTTTGTTTTCTTCTTTGATCCCCATGATGACGACAATGACGACAAGCGAGGAATTGCTACTTCCGGTGGGGCCAGCTGCACGCCAGCCGCCAGCGAAGGGTTCCCTCCGAACGACGTAGGAGGAAACCTTTCGAGCAGAGACGGGGGGACGGGCCCACTGAAACCGTTGTTGCTTAGGTTCAAGCTCTTGAGGCGCGGGAGGAGGCCCAGACCCCACGGTATGGGCCCCGCCAAGAAGTTGTTCTCCAGGTGCAGCGTCTCGAGCGCATCCAGTCTCCCGAGCGTTGTGTTTTCCGGTATGGAACCGCACAGCCCGAAGCCGGATAGTCGGAGCTCGGCTACCCGGCTTCGGTCCGAGTTGCAGGCCACGCCGGCCCAAGAGCTACATATTGGGTCGGCGGGCTTCCACCCGAGCCCATGGGGAACCACAAAGTCGAGAAGGGCTTTTTTGTCTTTGTCCAGATCTGATGATGCCATTGCTACTTCTTCTTGGAGGAGGAGAAGTAATGAAAAGATCATAGGAAGAAACATGTTGGAGAATATATACTCCGTATATATCTTCTTCACCTAATAATTAAAGACTCGATCAGCTCCAATAGTTATATTCTTAGGGGCTGCATGCCGATAGAGATTAATTACTCCGTATTTATAACCAAATATAATGTGAATTGTGTCCTTGCTTACGTTAACTTGCTTACTTTTTATTCTTAACTAGTATTTAACCCGGGGTGAAATGATTTGTTTTTTTACTCACTTAATTTTTTCTTCTTAGTTAATGACAATAAATAAAGTAAATTATAATATTGAATTGTAGAATTTAATGGGCGATATACCATAAATATGTGATATCCAAAATTTATGTATATACAAATTAAAACAAAAAGAACATGTAAAAGTATAATTTTAAATCCAAATCTTTTGAAAAACTCGAGGGTATACAATTTTTTGTTTTATTGCAAGGGTAACCGCTATCATCTAAAACAAACACTTTCAATCTTGTCTTTGTTTTCACTCTTGAAACTGCAACATAAAGTTGTTTGTGAGTAATGTGAGCAAATATTGATTTGATAAAAATAATCCAACAAATGACAATATTTGACTTTAATTCTTATTGATAGTCATGGTAAAATATAAAGATATTGGAAATTGTCTTCTTTGAAACCTCAATGGTAATCCAGGATCACACGGTACCAAATTAATCCAAGGTATGTAAACTTTCTCCTCGGCATTATTTCCTGATACAACAATTGCACCAATAATATTTCTTCGCAACTTTTCAACGATTAACCGTGTACCATTATACGTAGTATATTATACTGGGTGATTCTCTTAGTGAAATAAATATTATTGTTATTTACTTGTTGTCCAAAAAATGCATAGGTTGCCTAGAAAAAGGTAAAGTGTGATAATATACCTGAGCTAGAGGACATACTATTCAAGCACGTATTCAAAAGTTTTTTTTATACGTAGTATATTACAGTTGTTGATTCTCTTTTATATGTGGAGGAGCTTGAAGCTATGACTTGAAAAAAGTCTAGAACTAAAATAATTTTGTTAAATGTTGTTGCTTTGTAATTAGAGGGTATTTTAATTGTTTATGCTTAAATTGTTTACCACCAATTAATATTCTGTAATATTCTGACTATCTCTTTTTTTTAATATGAGAAGATAGAAAATATAATGGAAAGTAATGAAAAAATGTATTTAGTATCTCACATAATATTTGATATTTTTATAAAGGAAAAAGAAATAAAATATAAATTTATGA